CTGATCAAAGATGACTCCAAGGTTCCTCACAGTAGTACTGGAGGCAAGAGCTATGTCATCTAAAGTAACTATATGATTAGACAGCAGATTTCTAAGGTTTTCAGGCCCAAGCACAATAACTTCAGTTTTGTCAGAGTTTAGAAGTAAGAAGTTGCAGGTCATCCAGGCCTTTATGTCTTTAAGACATGCTTGAAGTTTGACCAGCTGACCTGATTCATTTGGCTTCATAGATAAATATAGCTGAGTATCATCTGCATAGCAATGGAAATTTGTGTTGTGCTTCCTGATAATATTCACAAGACTTTTAAGGGGTAATCTCTAAATATAAACTAATTTTCAGATACACGACTCCTTTTCATAAAGATCTGATGATTTAGTTTAGAGCATACTGGGAAAAACTATTACAAACAGCTGGTGAAGTTATTACAGGTGAATTTTCTCAGAGTTAATTTATTATATGATAAAATGGACAAAAATAAGTAGCACCATTTACAACTGTACCTGTGTTCCAAATAAATAATTAAGGGAAAAATAAACGTCCCTAAAAAAGAGACTTAAATTCAGTTCAAATATTCCAACCAGAAATATTAAGTTGAACCATGATGTCATTCATTTAAACACTAAAATGTATTAATTTTACTTTAATCATTAGTACAGCCTCTATTTACGTGGGTAAGGTTAATTCAGACTGTCTACGCAACACACTGCGATGTTGTGTGGTAATCCTGTGCACACCACCACTCAGTCTCACTGTATTAATTTTATGAACAATGGAAATACTGTCCATAACTCCCCAGGAGCATACTCTGGGTCTGACCTACCTCGTATCACTGCAGTCACATGACCAGGACTCGGCAAAGAGTGTTGATCATGGTTCCAGCGCTCCACACGTTGCCATTGTTTCAAAATAAGTGGGTAATTTGACTCAGGATAACTTAATCTAAGGTCATCAAGTCAAGCCCTGACTTTGTTTGAATTAACAGGATCATGTTATCCTGACAACAACATGCTAGCCCAGATTAGTTAATCCACATCTGATGAACAGGACCCAGGTGAGCTGTTGTGTGTGTGTGTGTGTGTGTGTGTGTGTGTGCGCGCGCAGGTGAAGCAGCGTCAGGAGGAGGAGAAGAGACAGCTGTGTGCCCTCAGAGACCAGCTGAGGCCGGTCGTCCACACGGAGCAGGTCGGAGATGCAAACGCTCACAGTAACTAACATCACAGTACTGTTCAACAGGCTATTAATGTGAGACCGTTTGTGTGTAGGACCCTGTACCGAAGCAGGTGTATAGTATGCATCAGCTGATCGGAGACAAACAGTATGGAACAGAAAGAGCAGGATTCCTCTACAAGAAGAGTGATGGGTAAAAAAAACCACACACACATACAGTAGTAGATCCCCACCATAACGTTTGAGGGTGCTCTAACCACGTGTCAGGGGGGCTACTTAGTTTGCAAATCAGCATTTGAGAGTGTGCACTTCTAAGTGCATCTGTACATACAGATTTGAGAGTGTAATCCAAGCCATGCATGCTCTTGTTTCTGATTCTGAGCTCTGAGAGTTCTCCACTGGGGTTTTCTGTGAAAGTCTGATCACACCAAAAGTTTTGAAAGCACATAAGAAGTTGCGAGTGCTCCTCAGTTTGCAAATCAGACTTTGAGAGCACAGGAACGGATGATAATCTCCTGGACTTCTTGGAAGTGCTGGTGCCCCTCCTGAAATATATATTTATGGCAGTGATAACGAATGATAACGGCCATTGAATGGCGTGAAAATGCTCAAATTGGCTAGACAATCAGTATCAGTAGAGTAAAATGGTGTCTGTTTATGTTTTAGGTTGAGGAAAATGTGGCAGAAGAGGAAATGTTCAGCTCACAACTGTTACCTGACCATCGCACATGCTACTGTGAGCTCACCTCTGTGTGTGTGTGTGTGTGTGTGTGTGTGTGTGAATAGTGGCAACCTCTGACCGCTAACATTAGGTCAGATGTATCTGATCTTTTCTAGTCCTTTTTGTGTGATTATCTTTATTCTACACTACTTTTTAGTCCTTATTTTTTAATATGTTAATCAGGTTTTGGCCTTTGTTTTTCTTTCACTATTTTATTTTCTCATATTTTTGTTCACTATTTGTTTTAATTTATTTTGTATGTAAATTGGTCTCATAGTTATCTTTTACTGAACTGTTACTCTTACTACTTTTTCAGTTTGCAGGAAAGCTCCTGTACGAACAAAGACAGGCTTGATTTGACCCCCTCTTCTCTTTCTCTCAGCCTAATAAGTCTCCTACGAGACTGAACCTGCTCACCTGTCAGGTTAAACCCAGTGTGGAGGACAAGAAATGCTTTGACCTCATCTCCAGTAAGATGTCCACACACAGGAATAAAAAACTGATTCTAACAGTGCTTTTCTAGTTTAAACAGTATAGTTCCTGAGCCTCAGGATTTCTGCTGTTTGCTTTGCAAGGTAACATCCAGCTAAATCGGAAAAGGTTCATTTTTAAAGTCCCCCTAAGTTTTATTCTTCTACATATTTTCATACTCTTATTAGTTTTTGTTGCACTTCTTTTCTAGTCTTCTCCCCTTTCTCCTGCAGCTCTCCCTCAGAACTTCAGGCTGTAGCTTTACCATAGATAGCATTATTCTAAAGGTCTTTCCTCTTCCAACCATCAGGTGATTTGGATGTCTAGATTCATGCAAATATTAAACACAAGCAATTACATCTACATTATATCTTTTTTCTGTTGGTGATGTTTGTTACACAAATAACCCTCTTTAAAAAATACAGCTAAGCCCCAGTGTTGCTGTTTTTACTTAGTTTAACATAGGCGTGTATCATAAACTGTCCGCTTACTAAAAATGAATGCACAGTGCCAAACCAGTGAGAATCAATGATTTTCAGTAGGCACAGTTTAAATGCACCTACACCACTGTGTGTTAATATATAATTGCTGAATGCATAACAAACACTTTGTCGTCCAGATAATCGGACCTACCATTTCCTGGCTGAAGATGAAGCTGAGTGCGTGGCGTGAGTAACAGACATTCACTGTTGATGCAGTTTGATACTGGCGTCATCCTGTATTTATGTTGCTTGTATTAAATGTGTTTAATGTGTTATCTGTTGGTGTGTGTCCATGCTTATGTATGCGATTCTCAGCTGGATCTCGGTGCTCAGTAACAGTAAGCAGGAGGCTCTGAGTGCAGCTCTGGATGGGGGGAGGAGAGGGGGAGAGGAGAACAGCGTGGAGGATCTGACCCAGGCCATAACTGACGACATTAGACGGATGCCAGGAAACAACAGCTGTTGTGACTGCGGAGCTCCAGGTAATATCAGTCGATCATTCAATCAGCACATCTTGTCTTCTTTTTAATCCCACCTCATGGATGTTTCAGCTCCAGTAGATGTTTTTCCAGGTAACGTTAATTTCAACTCTCTCTGTAGATCCTGGATGGCTCTCAACCAACCTGGGCATCCTAACATGCATTGAGTGCTCAGGGATACATAGGGAGATGGGGGTCCATGTCTCCAGGATCCAGTCTCTGAGTCTGGACAGCCTGGGGACTTCAGACCTGCTGGTAGGTCAGACCTGTTAGCTAACAAGCTAACCCTTTAGCAGTAGTGCTGTATCTGTTGCAAACAAACAAACCTGTGCACAGACTGCATTTTGGGAGCTTTTGTTGACTTCTCAGAAATAACAGTAACACAGAGGTTAATTTCAGATATTAATATCCTTTTTTTACATTTTTTTATTACATTTTCTTCCATATGGACAAAAGTGTAAGTAGTAAACATTTTGTCTTCTTTCTGTAACAGTTAGCCAGGAATATTGGTAATGCTGGTTTTAATGAAATACTGGAGGCAAACCTGCTGAGTCCTTCACTGAAGCCCTCCCAGCACAGCCACATGTGAGACTCACAGATACAGTCTGTTATTACATAGAAATAATGTTTTGATTTTACTGAATTTAGAACCGTTTGTGTTGTGCGTGCAGGACAGAGCGTAAAGACTTCATCCTGTCAAAGTATCAGGATGTTAATTTTGTGAAGCGAAGTCACAGCTCTGCTTCAGTGATGAGGCTCGGCCTGCAGGAGGCGACGAAGAGCTGCGACATCTACAGTCTGATCCGATTGTACGCTCAGAGGACAGAGCTGAGTCAGCCGCTGCACACGCACATACAGGTATATACATACTGTTTACGAATACACATACACACAAATTTAAAGTTGTGTAAACACACACATTCAGCAGTGTGTTTCTGTGCCAACAGGAGAAAGGGGAGACGGCTCTCCATCTGGCCGTCCTACTGGCTGACAGGACGTCACTGCACATCCTGGACTTCCTAGCTCAGAACTGGTCAGTCTGATTTGATGATGTTTGGACTATTATGCCTAAGGAAAAACCACACCTGTGTGCTTGCTGACGTGTTTACCTGCAGGTGTGTTTCTTTATCCAGCTCCAACGTTGATGTGCAGACATCAGCTGGAAACACTGCACTGCACTACAGCTGTCTGCACAACAAGAGTGACTGTGTAAAGCTGCTGCTTAGAGCCAGAGCCAACATACACATCAGTAATATGTATACACAAACACACACACACATTTGTGCATTACACTTCCTTTCATTAGAACTATACTGACCATAATGCATGAGGACATTATTTTGAAAGTCTGGTCTGTGTTCTGAAAGTGAGGGGGTTTGATGACATGTTTAGCAAGTGAGGATAGTTTTGCAAAATAAGGGC